TTTCCTTGTCAAAAAGTTTATTTGTTCAATGCTTCTAGATTGCTTTGATATTTAAAAGTAGCTCGTAAAATGCCTTTCAAGCACTTTCTCTCAAGTCATGTAAGCTGACTTGTCATGGAGTGCGAAAGGGTTATTAGAGATCTTTAGAAAGAAGTTCATAAAATAATAAATATGATAATATGATCCAAGGATCTGGGAAGTCTAGGCAGGAACTGTATGTTATCTTGCTTTCTTTTATGCCATGGGATTGCATTTATGCTCTGGCCTGTTAAATAGGCATGGGGGATGATGCTTGTGGAGTTCTGGTAGTCCTGTTTCTTACCAGAACATTGATCTCTGTTGACTGTCAGAGCCTGTACTCTCTTCCCCCATGATAAAAAGCACAGACTTCAGCCATGCAAAGTGTACTGGTTCAGGCATGGTGACAAATGATCTAATGACTTGTGTTGCCATTTGTGTTAGGCGTTTCTTGCCATATGATTCTTATAAATATCAGACATTTGTAGTCTCTGGCATATTAGCTCATTAAACTCTTCTGTAATCGAATAGGTGAATGCAAATTTCTTCTTGAAACAATGCAAGTTCTTACGTAAATCCTTAAGCATCGTGACCAGGGATTTGTGGATTTACTTTTTTTAACTGTAACCTTTTTTGAACCCCTTATTTACAGGTCTGCTGGATAAGTTCTTTCTAAATACTGGGCCAAAAGTAGTAACTTGGGCAGCTCTCACCTGAAGTTTGAAGATCTTAACTTCAGATATAGTGACAAGCAGTCATCAGCTTCTTGAAATACACTTTTAAGAACCATAGCGTCTCATCAACAGTCTTTCAATTTCAGTCTCTTGGTAAATGATTAGACAAATATGTGGACAAAAGCGAGCATCATGAATTGAAAATATTAATATTAGGAATTCCGTTAATTGTCGTAATGGGTGAGTATGGGGGTGATGGCAGAATGTTGCCAAGCTTGTGTTTCCCACACAGCATCATTGCATGTTGCCTTAATGAGGGTTGGAATACTGATCCAGGCCTGATCCAGTAGGCCATTCATTATGTAAATAGCAATGCCATTCAAGCTGCCTGAGCATGCAAAAACCTAATCTTATTTCCCTTGGAAGGTGAAGCATAATCCCTGCTCCAGAAAACAGGGAGTACTGTATAAATCAAGTAATACAGTGCTGTTGACTAGGTATTAGTAACGTGATGTCTTGTGAGATTTCTTTTTCAGTGATGAATCACTGTCCATATATTTGCAGTGAGATTGTGACAGCAGTAAGTCTTAAGGTTGTATCAATTCACTTGGTATGTTCTCTGAGCAAGGGAGAGTTCAAGGGGGAATGTGTGGTTTCTAGATACTTGGATCTATGTATGCTAATATAAAATCCTTATGGCAGTTTGTTGAGTAGATTCTTACGGGGAATTTGATTCAAAGACAAGCAGTTAGACAACCATGCAAATACACAAGTTTAATGTAGGCTGACTAGTCTCAAGCATTGCTTTCACATTTTCACGCTCTGTAAGTTTTATATGAACTTGACTGAATTATGTTTTTCTGTCTTTGAAAGACATTCATGAGACTAGCAATTAAGAAAATTAATTGTGTCTGGTGGTTTGTCTAGGTATTTAATTTAATTGCCTTTCAGGAACTGAGTATCAATTTGCTTCAAAATTGTTTGGGAAAGAATTGATTCCTCCTGTTTCTGTAGTTAGCACGACAGACAGAAGGAGTTCTTGTCTGTAACTATTGATTTTTTTCTTAATTGTTTGAACAGCCATTGATCTGGATTTTGCTATGCAATCAGCATCTGAGGCTTCAGAGCCCCATAACACAGAAAGGTTTGATAATGGGATGATATCTGTCTAGCTTGTGTTAATGATGCTGCATTATTATGAAGTCAAGACAAAAATATTTTTTTGTTTTCAAGAAAATACTAGTGGAAATTACAGAAGCTGTTACACTGGAAAATTGCAGAAGCTGTTACAGCACACTATCATTGCAGGTGTATTTTAGTCCTAGCCTATTGATTATATTGAAAATGAGGGGACTAATGGGTTTAGATAGGACAGCAGATTAGAACTAAAACACTGGAAAGAAGCACACTTCCTGAGCTGCTTGCATTTATTTTGCACACAGGCATGAGAATGAGTTATGGCTAGAAAAATAATTTCTTCTCCAGGTTCTTGCATAACTATGTAAACAAAAGTTTTGTAAAAGATTCTTCTTTCTTATCATCTTATGGGTAAGAGGTAGGTAAAAGGAAAGCTTTACTGTGCCTAAAAGAAAATGATGGGAATCTAGGCCTTGAGTGGTGGAGTTACTTAACCTTATGTCAGAATATATTAAACTTTATATTCTTCTGTTGCTTTAACTAGAGCTGCTAGCTCACTGAATGTAGCACTACTTAGAGTACTTATTGCTTAAAAGAGATGCTGAAGATAACTCATAAAAAATATTTCAAATATTTCAATGTATTAATGTATTAAAAAAAAAGTTTCAATGTACTGCAGAGCCCTTCCTCTGATATTTTGGATAACAGTCCTCTTTTGCATTGAGAATAAGACTTTAGAGAGGCTGGTGAACAAGGCTAAGCTAACTTCCTTTTAGGCCAAGTGGTAGTGAGTGGTAATAATGCCAATAGTAGACTTCAGAATAGTTGATCATCATTATGATAAACCTCTGAGGCCATATTGACTTCTAGGACTGAAGTGACAAAATGGTTTTTGTATTTATCTTCAAACTAACCAGCCATTTCTTTTGTAAGCTGTAGTAAATGTGGAGGGCATTGATGCTAGCTTTCTATTTCTGGCAAGCTTGGGTGTTGTATCTTCTGTGAATTTAAGGCAGCTGGTATGAGTTATCCTCTCCAGACACTTCCAGACTCTAAAAAATAATCTGTGTTGCTGTATGAAAGTTCATTATTACCATATTGTCAGTATGTGTTGCAGAACTGTATATGTTTGGGCGTGTTCATTGCCCTTAAAAATAAGAGTTTATCTTAAGTTCAAAAGCAATCAGCAAGGAGTATGGATCATTACTGAGATGGTTCTAAACATGTGAATTTTAACTTCAGGAGATACAATACTGTGATAGAATTGGATGGGCTCTGAAACCAATAAGAGTGGTCTCATTGTTCGTGGCTTCTGAAAATGCTATGATGCCACTATCAGTATTTAGGCTTTTTCTGTGCAAAGGTTATGAAATTGCATGTTTCTGTGAACAGAAAAATCTGATACATGACTAGCATTGATTACTGATATGAAGGCTGGCAAACAGGTAGTTTTTCTACACTTCATACTTAATTATACAAGCACAAAGACTGGAGAGCTGAAATGAAGGAATGTTTGACTGTTGGTCTTGTTCCAGTTAGCACACTTGCATTGGCAGATGACTGCATGCTGGTACTGTTCTGTTTCCTCTTCTGCTTGTGATATGCTCAGTCAGCATGCTGACTCTGCAGCTTAATTGCGAGTTCTAGGGAGCTCGGAACAGATGGGAAATTTGTTCTAATATTGCTAATGCTTCTGACCCGGGTGCCCTCTAGAAACACTTAGTTCAGTGTCTGCTAGCGGCTGTTTCTTTGCAGAGCAAAAATGGCCCTTAGACAAAATCCTCATGATTTATAAGCTCTCTCGCCCAGCTGGTCTCTTTAGTCTTTGTAAAGCCCTCCTGTACCTTGCAGAGGATTAGGAATCTGATAAAGTAGCAACCATCTCTCAGTTATGGGAGTCTAGTTATAAAATACCAGTTTCTCATAATGGAAAAGCTTTTTTTTTTCGTGAGTCTTCCCCTGCAAAAGTTAGTAACTGTGTTCTTGGGGACAAGTATCCTCCAATTTAACTGCCATTCTTGAAGTGATGAGTTTACAGTCCTCTACATGACACAGTTAATGATTGCTTTTCAGGGCTTAGAGATAAAGATGTAAAATACTTGCCTGGTTTCCTGATAAAGTAGTATGGAGAACTTCCTGTGTGCTGTTTGCTAGTAGTACTGTGATACTGATGCATATCTAGCCACAAACAATGGGATACAGCAGCATAACTTGCTTAGTTTTACGTTGGTCAGCTATCTATTTTTAAGAAGGTGGTGCAAAATAACTTGATTTTTCTTACTTTTTGTTGCAGTCACTTCTTTCACTGAGGGGTGTATTATGGTGGAAACAATTCTGTGTGATAGATTTATCTTTGGTGGCATGAGTAACATGAATACTTGGTATATCACGCAGACAGATGTTACGTTGTGCTGCTCCAGAGAGATGCCCTGCTGAGATTTAGCAGTTCTTGAAAATCTTGGTGTAATTTATAGAGTCCAGAGATTTAAATAGTTCCAAAAACCTAAAAAAATTGCCTCACAACTGGCATGTTTTCCCTATGGATTTGTTTTAAAAAGATGAAATTTTAGGCTTTTTGGCAAAGATTTGTACCTGAGCCTGAAGCTCTGTTGCCACTGTCACTTCAGAGATAATAATGCTGCAACTGAAGCAGAAAGCTATCAAGCATATCATCACAGGTGGTAGCAGAAAGGTGACTTTGCTAGGAATGTTAGCTATATCTTTTGAGCTAATTAGGAGATAACAACAGTAGGATAAGAATTACCAGTTGTTGGCTGCAGGATTCTTAATCTTCCAGGCAGATACTAAAAGAAGTGGTAGTCATCCTTTTAACTTCAGAACAGTTGTATAGTAGTCAGCTTCTAAGAGGGGGAGGACAAAGTGGGAGTAGCTTTAGAATGCAGTCTGTAGCAGCTTCTCAGCTTCTTATGTTGTTACAAGCAGGATCTCATGACGAAGAAACGACCTGGTATTTCTAGTTCTGCAGAATGGTATCTCCCTTGGTTTTTCATGCCTGTGCAACAAAGTGCAGGGAGAAGGAAGTGTCCCTGTGGGGTATCAAGTAACAGTCACTTTCACAACTCCCACATTACATACTCTAGTAAAGCTTTCCATACAAGTTACAGAAATCAGTAAATCTGGCTGTTCTATCTTTTCTCAAATGACTAAACAAGTCACCTCTTTACAGATGCTGTTGATGGAGTGGTTAACGGGGATGTCTATCAGGTAAGATAGAAGTATTCTGTACTTAGAATGTGCTGAGAACTTTACCTTAATGTAGACTAATACTTCCTATTTCTTGTCTTTAAAGTAATTTTATCTCATTTCTGAGGAAGGTCTTCTATTCTGGTAGCTCATCTCATAAAGTTGTCAGTGTTTTATATTATGCCCATCCTCTGAACTTAGAAGCACCTTAGAGCAGCAGTTCATTTTGAAATGTGGCTTAACAGTACATAAGCACTGTAAAGCAGACTGATAGGCTCTGTGGTATGACTTTACATTGACTTGCACTGGCTGCTAAGCTGAAAGTGTGCTCTGATTACCTAGTTTAAAGCAGAGTTTTCAGATTTGCTTGCTCTTTAAAGATAATTAATGCATCCTGGTTGTCTTATCAACATGGCCTTACAGGGAATGGACTGAAAACTCTGTACATTTCTTAGTGACATGAAGTTGCATGAAATCAAACTGATGGCTAAAAAGCTCAATCGCAGTATGAAAGGATGCCATGGTAATGACAAAAGGAGGAGATACCTGCTTCATTGGTGTCAGGGAGGTATGAGGCATGCTGAGGCAATCACTTCGTTGGAACTGAATTTCACATCAGTTTGTCCAAGGCATGGTCATTGCCTGGTGTCAACAGTTGGCTCATTAGCCCTTGTTAAATGAATGTTTGGGAATGAAGCAATGTATGAACGATGTACTTCTCCTTAGAGTTTTAAGTGAGTGCTGAGCTTTGTGGAGGCATAAGCAGCTTTCACTGCTGCTGACATTCTTGTATCCCCACCATTACTGTGAGATTGATGGGACAACTTGTATTTTACAGGCTCTTTGTGCTTCCTTGTACAACAGAAGGCAGACTGCCCTCTTTAGATACCTTGATTTTGTGTTTGGAATTCTAAGAGACCAGTTGTTCTGGTTGACAGAGCTTCCTCTTAATGAGAAAGAAGAGACTGAATGGGCCATACATAACTTAGGTTTTAGCTACCTGTAACTAGCTGGCCTTAGGGCTGGCCAGTTTATTTTTCTTTGGATGAAATGTGAAGCCTGGTGGTGTTGCTCCAGCCTAGTGTCTTCTCTTTGCATTAGTCCTTCATTGAGGGCTACAGGAGGTCCAGAGAGGGGCAAGGCGCAGCCAAATCTGTGGTCAACTGCAATTGACCTGGTACTCTTAGGAGTGGTATTTCTTATTTCTGTTAGGGATAGGATGAAGCAATAAAAATTGTTAAACTTCAAGTATCTTCTGTAGCAAATACCATAATATTTATCAGCTTTGTAAATCTGGTGTATTAATGTTAGCCCTATTAATTTTAAGCCTTTGAGATGTTACATTGTGAAAAGGATTCTAGTACTCTCACTGTTCTGTTGATTAAATATTGAAATGTCTCTTGTGTTATAAGCTACATAGAGCAATCCAAATTTTGTAATGTGATATGCAAATGTCTCTTGAAGTAAACAAACAAGCTGCAAAGAATGTTTTATACTCCTGTGCACAAAACCATAAAGAAAATTACTTTCACAGCAAATATTTAAGGAGAGATTAACTCAGAGAAGATCTGGTCTACAGCTGTGTAATTAGGTGCTAGGCATTGTCTTCTTCATTCTGCACGCTTAGTGCTCTGACACCAAGTGTTCATGGCACTTACATTTCCAGTTGTCTTGAATTTTTGTTTGATCCTTGATTTCTGGAGGAAGTCTTCTTAGTTTCCTTCAATTCTGCTGTAATTTGTAGCAAGATTTTTTTAATGGTGGAAATGTGTTATAACATCAAATGAGTGTATTATTGGCTTTGTTCATATAGAGTCTAATTTTATATAGCTGGCAGGCAGTTATCTGAAATATCCTCTTGTTATGTACAAATGACTTTAGTATTTCTTTCCTCCAAGGAGAGTAATGGTCCCACAGACTGCTATGCTGCCATCTCCCAAGTAGATCGACTGCAGTCAGAACCTGAAAGTATTCGAAAGTGGAGAGAGGAGCAAAAGGAGCGCCTGGAACAACTTGGTAAGCATGGTATTTGTTGAGTAACTTAAAAACAGCTTCACTCAGGCTGGGAGAGTTGGGGTTGTTTGCTTGGAGAAAAGAAGGCTCTGGGGTGACCTTAGAGCAGCCTTCCAGTACCTAAAGGGGGCCTACGAAAGAACTGGAGAGGGAATTTTTACAAGGGTGTGTAGTTTACAAGAGGCTTTAAACAGAAAGGAGGGTAGGTTTGGATTAGCCATTAGGAAAAAATTCTTTATGGTGAGGGTGGTGAGGCACTGGCACAGGTTGCCCAGAGAAGCTGTGGATGCCCCATCCCAGGCTGAATGGGGCTTTGAGCAGTGTGGTCTAATGGAAGGTGTCCCTGCCCTTGGCAGAGGAGGTGGAACTAGGTGATCTTTAAGGCCTCTCCCAACTCAAGCCATTTTATGATCCTTAAGCAGTGGAATTCTGAACTATCGCACTGCCTCTTCAGAGTCTTAACACGCTTCCTGAGTTCAAGGAGCAAGCCTGGATGAGTCTTCTAGTAAGCAGACTTAATACTGGTGTGGGAGTCAGCAAGCAAGAGGCTCTCTGAACCTTTACTTAGAGATGAGCTGACAGAAAATGAACAACTTTTTTAAGTTAAAAAGATGATAGTAAATACTGCAAGCAGTAGTTTATTTCAAAGGATAAAGATTACTCATTTTGTAATTGCTGAGGCCATCTGTTGTCATAGGGATCTTAATCTAATAACTAAATTAAGAAAGTAATGGATTATTAACTAGACTAAATGCAGCTATCAAATGCAGTGGTACCTACCCATGGACAGCATCTAGGAGACTACAAACTGGTGCGCTTCCCACTTACATGGTGGCGCCTTTGCTTGAAATTGTTAGAACAGAGCCTTCTGTAAAATGTAATTCTGGATGGAGCTGACCCTTTCCCTCCTCTTTTGGGCTAGTTACAGCAGATGAGGTTGTCCTGAGCTGTGGGCTGTGTGTAAAAGTATGCGGAGTGCCAGGTTCCTTCACTATGTCTAAGCATAGAGCTTTACTAAGCTTTGTTACAGCACTGGCATAGCAAGGTAAGTGTTTCTGGTTTGAGCAGTTTGCAGACCAACAGATCCACTGAATCTGAACTACTCTGCAAAATTCTTATCCTAAACTGAAGTGGACTGTCCCAGTTATGCAGCACGGGAATTCTGTTTAGCTAATCCTTTGAATGTTAGTAGTATTTAGAGTTTTCATAGCCTGAATCAGGAAATCTCCTAACCCTTACCCAAGTTGGTGAAGCAATTGTCTGCACTAGGATGCACCCTGAATCATCAGTTGAAATGTTTGTAAGATGCATTTGGATACAAACATGACTGACAAAGCAGTTTTTAAATCTTCAGATGCAAACTCGCGAAAGCAGGAAGCAGAATGGAAAGAGAAAGCAATAAAAGAGTTGGAAGAGTGGTATGCAAGGCAAGATGAAAAGCTCGAGAAAACAAAAGCCAGTAACAGGTAAAGTTTCCTCAGCTATCAGAAGAGTTATGGTTCTAGTTATGAAAATAATTGTGAAGGGAGGTTAGAGTATTTCTTGTATATCCTAAGGCAATAGTCTTTCAGATCATTAAAGTAAATGCTCCTACTACCTATTTTTTTAACTTTTCTTAAATAATCTAGATTAAATGTCCAGGAAGCATTAAGATGATGATCAAGTATTACTGAAGATTCCTTAGGACATGAAGCCTGAACATGGCCAGAAAATATTTTACTCAGTTGTTGTCACGCTCCCAGATGCACGGGCCTTCAGTGTCTTCAATTACCTACCCTGATACTAGCTTTCTTACTTGCTTACTTTAGAACATATGGAAGTGGCATTCTAGTTAATCTTGGCTACAGGTAATTTCATTAAATGTCTTAAAACCGTTTGCTGCTCTTTTTGGAAGCAGTTCAGCTATAACATGACTCAGTCCTGCTAGTGAAAAACTAAATGCTGACTGTATCTGTACTGGTTTGAATTGTCTAATTATGGGTCCTATGGCAGAAAGTGATAACATGGTTGCTGGAATAGTAAGCTCTCACACTTTCTTAGAAGTTCCCTGTGGAATTTTGACTTCAAGCTGTGTGAAGGTAAATGTGATAGAACTGACTTAGTGCCTCTTAAATCTCTACTTCATTCTATCCAGGTAATCATCAAGACTGCTTTATATTTTGGGAACTCACAGGGTTCAAGATGAACTGCTGTTTTGTTAATTTTGTTGTTGGCTTTTTTTTTTGTTTGTTTGTTTTTTTGAAATACTTTTCTCATCAAAATGGCCATCAGATTTGTCTTAATTAAATAAAGTCCTAGGTAGACTACTCTTCTTTCTAAAGGAATAAAGGAGGTCTGTGCTGCTGTCAGAATTATGGATTTGCCACTTCCATTCAGTGAGGAATTCACTATCTTTTGGTTGGGCAAGAAAGGGCAACAGGATTAGTACTGTTGTACGTGGTGGGCAGAGCTCACGATGCCCTCATAGGTTTATTACGGCCAGTGTTTGAGTGCAGGATATGGAGTCTGGAGCAGGGTTCATTAAACAGGTGTTGCACAGGAGTGTTTGGCATTCTCATCATCCTGGTGAGATCTCTTGCCTGATGGTAGTTTCTATCCTCTGGAAGTAGTTTACTGCTAATACTGGGGCTCTAGTCCTCAACTAGATGGTCTAAACTTCTAGGATGTAGCAGAATTTCTGTGTTGCCCCTCTGACCAATGGCTTAATTGACACATTCCATGTGGTAACTGCTTTCCTGTTACAGTAAGTCTAGGTGATGCAAGGCTAATGTGCTTGTTAAAACTGCCTTTAGCTGTGTTCCGTACTTCTCATCCTTATCTCTTTTCTCCTGCCTGCTTGCCTGCCTGTTGGACTACTTGCTACCTAGGGTGGCAGATGAAGCTTTCTACAAACAACCCTTCGCTGACGTGATTGGTTATGTGTATGTTGCTTAACTACTAATTCTGTTTGCTAGTCAACACAGTAATAAGCAGGATCAGAAATAGTGCTGAAATGTCTGAAGGTGCCTTCTGAATATTTACTTCCTAGACTGCTTCTGGTCTGCAGTATTAAGTGCAGTTCTCCTGTATGCACTGCACAAAGCCTAGCACTTTCAGTTTAAGTTGTGTAGTGTATACACCGCTGGAATTTTGACTTCAGTAGTCTTTAGTAGTCTTTAGACCTAAGGTTTACAGTTGTTTCCAGGCCAGTGAACATAGCTTAGCAAGATGCCTTGCTGGGGGTGTGGGTTAGTGCCTGCAGTTTCACATGGGTGCTGTGTTTAGTCCTTCCACAGAGAAGCAGTGTTTAATTCTGTGATAGGCAGTGACCACCTTCTTTGCCTACGTATCAGAAAAATATTCAAACAATGCTTGCACATAAAGGTTCACAAGCCAGGAAAGGTAGAAAGGAATTGCCTGACATAAATCAGGGTAGAAAATGTGCGTGCTTATAGAAGTAGGAGGCTGGTGGAAAGGACAGAATGTGGTATTGGGACATCAGTGTAAACTGCTGGGAAGACATTAAGGAGCTGTGTAGATGTTTTACCAGCCTAATAGGTCAGTGAAAACAGAGCTGAGACTTTCAAGCCCCAGTGAGCATGCTAGTTTCTGAGGGGTAGAAGGATTGCAATGTTCATTGGCTTGTTCATGTATTTTAATGTCTTCCCTTAATTTGTAGACTTGAATTGAAAGATGGATATGCCACAGATTCTAAGGTGACACCTTTAGAAGGTGTACTGGTGAGCCGTGTTGTGGCTTTGAGTGCATTAATATTGAAGTTTGGTGTGAAATTCACAGATAACTGTAGGTGGATGTAAACCAAGACTTGTGAAATGATGGATTTACAGGTGGTGTTTAACTTTTCTGAAATCTCCTGGAGTTGGTTTTGTTAGACTTTTTCAATAAAACCCTTATTTTCATATGTCCAATGCAAATGTGCAGTGTAAGTGCTGCATAATAAAACTGGCTGCCTGTTTCCGGAATGTAGGCTAAGCAACTAGTGCATGTTCAGCCAGCTAATCATCTGCATTAAACTCATTCTCATTTTCTATATCTGACTTAAACTTTCTCTCCTTGTTTCTTTTCTTCTCTTCACCTTTAAGCACAAACATAAATCATCCTTGCTACAGCCTAGAACAGTTAAGTAAAAAAATCTTCACTGCCCCTTAAAAGTGTCATGTCACATAAAGTAGCAGTGTTGTAGTGATCCTTGTCTTCAGTGGTGTCTGTAACCTTATCATCCCTGTGAATAGTGCTGAACCCTCATGGGAGAGTCATTTTCACTGCTTTCTCTGTACTGCTTGTTGGAGTAGATGGATTTGGTTTGATCTCTTGATGCTTACTGCTTCTGCACTCAGGCAGCTACCAGGGCCCCACAGTTCATGTAAACTAGATGCTGGAGTGTTATTCCTGCATTGAAGCAATGCTATTGGCAGCACAGAAAAGCCAAAATAATACAGCTGGGAAGCCACTGGCACTATCCAGTACATTATGTCAAAAGCCTCTGTAGAGTCTCCTTAGGGTGAGAGCAGGGGAAATATGTTTGTTCTGTGAGGTGACCCAAACAAGTCATCTCCTCTGCCAAGATATATGCTGTAGTCTATTGCACCCACAAGCATGGGATTCATGACTTAAATTCCTTATGATTCATGCTGCTTTACTACAGCATTGGGAATCATCAGCAGATAGTTTTATGATGGCCTGTAGGCCTTGGGGCTGATTTAAATCCTCAATGGAATTTGTTTAAGACATGCTTGCAGGCGGTTGTAAATTTCCAGTTGGCAAATGTCCAGTATAAGCCATCAAGTGGTAGAGGCTTAACTAGTTAAAACCTGGGCATTTCTCCATAAATTAAATGCCTACATAGAAGTACCTTACTTCCTGGAAGCTTGTGTGGCGACTCCTTAGGCAAAGACTCAATAACTATTCTTAAAACCAAACACCTGTATTCCAACATTTTACACAATCCTCTGCAATTTTCTGCACTGCTTGTGCATAGCATACTACTGCAATCTACTTTCATCTCCAGGATTGGGGCAGTGGGAGCTTATGTGGCCATAATGTCCACAAGCAGCTGTCAGGTCACATTTCTTACCAAACATGCTGAAAGAAACTGCATCCTGTAAGAGGGAAGGAGTGGCTTATCTACTGGGCATTAACACAAGGTGCATTGCATTGCTTTTAGGGCAGCTGAAGAAGCCTTTGTGAATGATGCAGAAGAAGTTTTTCCGGGCACTGAGTGGGAACGTGTGGCTCAGCTCTGTGACTTTAATCCCAAGTCTAGTAAGCAGGCAAAAGATGTGTCCCGCATGCGTTCAGTCCTCATCTCGCTCAAGCAGGCTCCGCTGGTTCGCTGAAGCAAAGCTCGGTGGAAACACTAAAATGCAATATCTTAACCTTACTCAGAGAAGCTATGTTTGCAGTAATTAATTAATTGTTTCAATGTGTTTTTTTGGACCACATCATGATGTATCTAGAGCTGATCATTGTTTGATTGCATGTTCTTCCTGATGTTTCCTTTCTGTGTCTGAAATGGGAGAACCTCCAAAACTGTAGTCTCTGTGCTGTTGTGCACTGAGGTATCACTTCCCACATTACTGATATTAAAGATATGTTAAACAGCAAAATGTGTTGACTTTGAATGAATTGAGGTCTTCTGCTTCCTTTTGACAGAGGGTGTTTGAATTAAGTGCGAGTAAACATTTCTCTTGATTGCTAGTGATTTCACTTTGCTGGTGAACGTCCAGCCAGCAGTACTTCTGGTCTCTGCAAGGCTGTCCTGCTTGTTTCTTTAAGCTTTCTTAAAGCTCTTGAGAGCTTTAATTTAAAAACTTCTCTTATCACACTAGACAGCAGCTCAAGAAAACTAAAACAGCAGGCTTGTTAAGGGGTTTATCTTGCTTCCAGTGGGACTGAGGACACTGCCTTCTGCAGTAAAGGTAAGTGGTTTTGTATAGTTTTCTGCTGTCACTCTGGCTGTCTGTCTCAGGCTCAACACAGGAGAGAGGACTGAGCAGTTAAGACCTGTGATATTCTACTGCTTATTCTGCTCTGCTAGGTTTTCAATGCTGTCTTCATATGCGAAGGTCTGTGGTGTACTTGGATGCTTTTGAACTGTGTCCTTGTCCTCACTGACCACTACAGACACTTCTTCCCACTAGGGAGGTGAACTGGAGAGTTAGAGAGCAAGAGAAGGGAAGACTTGCTCTTAAGGCTGCTCATATCTAGGTTGGAGTTCTGTCTGCCAAGGTAGTTGAATCGGAAACAAACTGATAGAAAAATCTCTGTTCTGCTTCCTTGGCTCACCTAACAGTCACAGGAGCTATATTCTAGCCTTGCTCTGTTAAACCTTACCCTTAGCTGCCTATCTTATAAAACTAATCTGTTCAATCTCCTACATTATTTCACCATGTTTATAAAAAACACAGTATCTTAACTACTGTGTAGCGTAATTGCTTTAATACCTTCTGTGTACAAGCTGGAAGGTTAGTCCAGGCAGTCTGAAAGGGTTGCAGGTGCAGACTACGATGTACCAAGGCTCAGGATGTTACTGCACAGCAGCTGTCTCACTAGCAGCTGCATTCCTGTGGTGGATAAGGTAGTGAATAAATGGTTTCCAGTTGGGCTGCAGTTAAGCTGTACCTCACAATTGTCTGTAATGACTGGAGCTACTCTCATGTTTCCAAGTGTATTCACATACTACTGGTGGGTGGTGATGAGAATGATAGTAGATTACAGGTCTGAAAGCTGGATGCCATGGAAAATTAAGACAAGAAGGTATCTTCTGAACTGCACAAGGGTATGGCAGGCGAGTCCAACAGGACTGAAGCACGGAGCAAGTCCATAGAATACTGATACTCATTGCTAGCCTTGATTAGTTATGCATTTGCCTTGACTAAAAATTTGCTTTTTGCTGCACACTAAAAAGCTCTGAAAATAAATATGTTCAAAATGAGCTGATAATTTAATAGAGAAGTCCACTACCTTAAATGTACAGTCTTTAAAGTGTTAATATGAATTTAGGAGAATTTGAAAGATCTACTGTTTAGAGGGTCTCGTGCACACTGAATAACAGTATTTATTTTCCTATCTTACATAATATTTTATCTGGCTATGGATGTGGCTTAGAGCTGCAATCCAAGAAAATGGGCAAAGACTCGAATTCAAGGCCAATGCAATGTTACAGAAGTTAAAACAGTATTTTATATGCTGGGTTTGCAGAGTGTAAGAATGTGTTTGCAGATTTTTTTACATATTTCATCCTATTGGAACACTTAAAATACAGCTCTGTGGGTTATGATTACCTCCACTAACTCTGGTGCAGAGATTTTGCAGATTAACTCTTCTGCCTTAATTCTACATTGTATGTAAAATTAATTGTAAAAATGTAAAATGTAATGTAAAAATTAATGTAAAATGACATTGAGTATGCTAGCTCACTGTTTCCTTTATCAGTGCTGTCACAAAATCAGAGACTGGCTGTGGTTGGAAGGGACCTCTAGAGGTCATGTAGTTCTGCTCCTCTGCTCAAGCAGAACCACCTTGAGCCTGTTGCACATGACAATATCCAGACTACTTCTCAAGATCTCCAGGAAGTAAAATGCCACTACCTCTCTGGGCAACCTCTGCCAGTGCTTGGATACCTGTACAGTATGGAAGTGTTTCCAGATGTTCCAATGGAGCCTCCTGTGTTTCAGTCTGTGCCCAGTGTCTCCTATCATGGTACTAATGAAAAGAGCTTGGCTTCCATCTTCTTTGCACTCTTGCTTCAGGTATTTATATACATTAATAAGATTCCCTTAAGCCTTCTCATTTCAAGGTTGAACAGTTCCAGCTCTCAGCCTTCCCTCACAGGAGAAATGCTGTGGTTGCTTTATAATCTTTGTGGCTCTTTGTTGATCTCTGGTGTGCTCATGTCTCTCATGTACTGGGGAGCTCAGAACCAAACACAGCACTCCTGGAGTCAGGACATTTTCTGTGTCTGAGAATTGTTTTAGATTCTTAGACCTTGTGACAGAGCAAAAGAATTCTCAGGTTTATTTGAACAAATCTTGTGTTTCTAAGCCTTGACTTCTTTTCTTCAGAGATCAGCAGCTGTCACTGTTTTGTAACTTCATGTGACAGTGTTGTGTTACCTCTGCCTGGCTGTGCATGCTCAGTCCTGTTCACTGGCTTTAACTTCCCCACTGTTGCTGCTTATCTCCATAGCATTACTCAGAATCTGGGAAAAAACCTGGATGCTTCCTATCCTTCAAACATAATCCCATCTGCATTTGTGTGAAGATCTCATGCAGTATTGAGAGAGAAGCTGTGGACTCTTGCTGAACACATCCTGGTATAGAACTTGCTTTGTTTAGCTTCTGATCAAGTGACAGCCAGCAGCCAGCCAGTCTGAAATTACAATGAGCATTTGTAAAGAAGAGGGATGGAGAGGTCATGGGTTCACTGGAAAGCAGGGAGCCTGAAAACAACAGCATTGTGCATTCATCCTCTTAGCCTGTGGAACATGGTTAAGTTTTAAACAGCCATAAAACAACATGGTGTGGCTTATCTGTTTCCTGCTGATGTTTTTATTTTCTGAGCAACCAGTTAAGAGGGAAACATAAAGATTACAGGCTTGTATTTCAGAATGGTCAACATGGGGGTCGTTTTTGCCATAGTCTTTGCCAAGAGGATTCCTCCAGCAGTACTTGTCATGCAGGCAAGCATGTTCCTCTGCAGGACCTTGTCCAGATATAATTATCTGGAATGGTCCAAAAGGGGTGTACAGCCCAGGTGTTTTATACTTACTAATTCCTGTGATGTTTCCATGGCATTTGAAAGGGACCCTGATTTCAGATTTCACTGAATCCATGTATAAATTCTATCTGCACCTTACTCTGGGTTGTGTTTTTGTAATACAAAATTGCCATTTCCTCCATTGGTAATTCCTGCAAGTTTTTGACAATTTTTTTACAATTAAATGGAGGAAAGACAGTGTTTCAGCACCACCAGAAAGCTAATGGATTTATTTCCAAGTGTCTGGGTGGCAGATCAAAGATTCAGAACACTGAATAAACTTAATGGTCAGGAAGCCAAAAAGAAATTCTAAACCGTGAAGTATACAATCCTCTGTGTGGATTAGCTATGTGGTTTGCAAAACATCAGCAGTGATCTGTAAAAAGGTATCTATCAAAACTCATCTTTTCCTTATGGTCCCAAGTTCTGGCTTTTTGGTTTGAGAACTAAGAACTCCAGTTTTAGTTTGCTTTCCAGCCTTTTGGCACTCTACTGCTGTCGCTTACTTATGTAATGCTGAACATCCAAGTTCATGAGGGGTCTTGGCTCCTGCCCAAGCTGTTGATGTCATACACCGTTCTGCTTGGAGGGCTGGAGGGTGGCATTCCTGCCAAAGCTCCCACAGTTAGGATACCACATGCACTTGCCACAGACACTGCAGAACCAACCAAAATGCAACAGGCAATATGAACAGGTGCTGCCAGTGCAGGTACTGAGAATGCTCTGAGCTTTAGGCTCTGAAATACTGGTAAGGGCTGGGGAAAGGGACTTTGTTTCTGCACATTTTCCCAGTATTGGATATAAAGGTTGGTTTGCCCTTACTTGAGTCGATCTTCATGGTACGGACTACTCTAAAGGACCCTGGGCCAGCATCAGATGAACACGTTACTGCATAATGTGCAGTACTATGTACTACATAGTTCTGTGAACATATGATGTTTGCTCCTTCTGGGACTGTATACAACCGAGGGCTAATGTCCATAAAACTCTGGTCCACACTGAAGTACCTGAAGTTAAAAGGATGCTTCTGAACAGGGAAAGGAGAGACAAAACCACTATTACGCTATTAAATATGACTTTTTATTCTCTCTGATTTTATAAACTGCTTGGACATATGCAGCAGGTTCTTGGCCAATTGACAGAAAAAAAGCATTTTCAAAAGCATTTGAAGAATCGTTTGTTAAAGGTGTAACACTTTTCAACTGTGTTTTAGTCTGTTGTGTTTTTTCTGTCCCTCCCTTCAGCTGCTAGGGAAAGACATCTTAGATACCAGAAATACAGAGCTTCAGAGGGTCTGGAAAGCAAAAGCCTGGTCCCACTTTTAGCCAGGCATTCCAGCCAGGCATTCCTTGTGACGGTAGAGGATGGAAAGATCAAATGACAGGCCTCCCCACTGCTAGAACCTCATTATTCCTTATCTGAGCTACTGTCACTGCAGTTTCTTGTTGACCTACTCATAGAGCTAAAGCTCTGGTATTGAAGGTAATGGGAATCATCAAGTAAACCAAGATGTGTAGGAAAAGGAACTAAAACTCCTTGGTTACATAAAGCCTAGTACAGCTTGGCAAACAATTAAGAACCAGTTACTTGCCAAGTCTGAGGAAACTATGGTATAGAGGCTGCATGATTGTTCCTGGAGACACCAGGAGGGAGATCTGGTGGTATTCCTGAAATCTGCTCTGAAGACATGAGTTATCAACAAGCATTCCTTGTGGAAGAGAGAGTGAAATACAGATAATCTGTAGATTATATCCCAGAATCAGCGAGTGTACTAGGAGCTATTCAGTCCAAGTTTGTTGTATAGCAGAGGGTAATGGTTGCAGAAGATTGTTTCATTTTGACTGGAGAA